CATAGTGAGAGACGGGAGACAGGGGCCCTCGGTGTGGCTGGCTGGTGTCCTCTCTGAGGGCCAGCTGATTCTCTGGGGGAAAGGTGGTGTCCCCTCTGACAGCACACCTGGGCAGGTACAGGCATCTCTGCTCCCGGTGCTGGTGGGACTCCTTTCTGAGTACCTGGGCATTAGGAGAAACCCAATTTCCCTTGGAACCCTGAAGGCGCCCCACTGGAGACTCCCTCCAGCAGTGCCACCAGCCATCCAGTGGGAGGCCGGCCAGCAGCGGTCAACACGGCTTGCTGAAGGCCCTGGAGCAGCACCTGCTGGCAGGACAGGCTGAGCCCAGGAGTGGCGCTCGGCTCCCTTGAAGCAAGAAGGTAACTGGCCCATCCGGCCTGTAGGTTCTCAGGGGTGCTCCTCTCCAGGCCCAAGGCCCATTCGCCCAGGCTGGGTACCAGCTGAGAGCTAGCTCACACTTCAGACCCCTCCCACAGGCAGGGCCTACACTGTGGCCAAATGGTTCCCTGCCTTTTCCTAGCCCTCTCTCTGACTTTTCTTACTGAATCTCGCAGAGGGCCCACAGGCAGGAGCAGGTGCGCTCCCTTCCCTGCAATTCTGCACAGGGCACCACCCGAGTCTCTGCTCCCCTTCACTCTGGGACCCCAGTCACTGTCTTTTTGGTGACTCAGTGGAAGCTGAGACAAAGAGCATCCTAATCTCATATCCTGTTACAGAATTATCTTAAGTGTACGAATTTCTCTAAACACCCTGCCTTCATGGATTCAGCTGGCAGTGCCCTAATTCCTCTCGGAAAGCACTCTGCCTCTCAGTGCAGAGGACACGTCCCCTGGGGGACTCTCCACTTTCCTCGCTCTACACCCAAAGAAATCCTGACTCAGCGGTTTCAAACTGTCTCCTTCGGGCGTCTGCAGAGTGTCTGCTGCCAACAGGAAACTGGCCAGTTTCTGAGCTTCTCTGGTTGAGTCTATGCCCAGCGCTGGCCTGATAGCTCGACCAGGATGTTGGCGACATTATGCCCAACGAGAAACTTCCAGAGCAAAGGCTCAGGGACTGGGGACTGAGGTGCCAGCAAGGGAAACTGGTGCATTGAACACACCGAACCCACCACTGCTGGGTGGGGAGTGGGAGCTGGCCTGGGAGGGGGCTCTCCTTTCAGGAAGGAGAGAGCAGGGGAGTTGCCCGGGGTAGGGGCTCCCCTTTCAGCTCATCTGGTAACAACCAGAGCCTTGAGCCAAGATGGGGATGTTCAGAGACTTGGGTGTTTGTTCAAGCTTTGCAGTCACTCGACTGCCCAACCGACTCTAACCTGCGTAATTATAGATGGGACAGTCATGTCACCTGCATTGTCACCCTGGTTTGTTGAGGGCAGCAAGATGAAATTAAGTTTGGGGAAACTAGGGCATCTCCAAAGGGCTGAGCAAAACGAGGGGCTGGGACCCTCGCCAGAGAGGAGTGCAGGATGACGGCGGGCTCCAGCGCTCCAGGCTCTCAGGACTGGCACCCTCACTAGTCCTGATAGGCCCTGGCCCTCCAGTGCGCTCACGGTGGGGGTGGTGACTTGCGAGATGCACCAGCCCGGCTTCTTCCCAGGCAGTGAGTGGAGCAGGTCCCCCCCCCACACCCCGCCGCCTCCCCTAGGGCAGCAAGGGCTGAGGGTGTGCTCTCGTCCCAGGAAAGCTGCAGCCTCTCCCTGCACTCTTGGTCCCCTTCCCTCCTGCACCCTCGAGGGTGTGCTATGGCCCGACAGTGGCTTGTGTCCCAAAGGTGTGTGATTTGGAACTTGGTCTCGGGGTAATGGCATTGGGAGGTGGTGCGACTTTTTAGGGGTGGAGCCTTGCAGGCAGTGATTGGCTCGTGGTGGAAACGTCCACGTGAATAGATGACTATTGTCCCCCCAAAGTGAGTTCCAGAGAACGGAATCATTTAGAGTGGGTCATTGTAATGGAAAGTGGCTGGCCCCCTGCCCCAGCCACAGACGTCCACCGCCCTGCTTCTGCCCGCCCGGGTGTGGAGCCAGTCCCACATCTTTCAGCTTCCCGGCTACCAGAATTGGGAAACCTCTATTCTCTGTAAGTCACACAGCCTCGGGGTCTCTGCCAGCCGCACCTTAGCAAACGGCCACCGTTAAAGTGGTGCGTTTCAGATCGGCTATGCTTATTTACATCCTACTTAGTAATGTCGGTGTTTATTCAAGTGCAACATGTGATTCTCAGTTTTCATTTTGCTGCCCTCACACTGAAAAAAGACACAGTTAAACCACCAGGACAGAAGCACAGCCAACACGTCAGGTTTTGTTGCAAGTGATGCAGCCTTAACAGGTTGCAGTGTGCAGGGAGAAACCACACCTCCCGGGCGCCACCAACCTGTAAGCTGAATGCATCGCTCCTCGGAGCATGGCACTGCCGACCTTCTGCTCTCGGTCTGCGTGTGCCCAGTTGGATGTAGCCCGGAGGCTGGTTTCCACAGGAGCACAGTGCCACCCACCTGGCCTCCAAGATGGAAATGGTGCTCTAAAGGCAAAGGCCCTTTCCATGCGGTTTCTACTGTGGTGCTGATGTGGCCCGGCAAGAAAGACGGCGGGGGCGGTGGAGGTGATACCCCGATTTACTCCATGCTCGGTGTGTCGAGAATGTGTTAGGAGTTTTCATGGCTTTCTGTGGTCTGCATTCAACTCGCTCAGTCGGATTCCGGATGCACAGCATGCGTCCTGTCCCTGTAAGTGACGGCTCAGGACGTGGTCGCAGCTCCCCGACACACGTCCTATCTGGTGATCGAGGACAATCCCTCTTCTCGCTGTGCTCCTCCTTCATAACTTGCTAACAGCTTGTGGAATGCAGGAGAGATGCTGTCTGACTTCCCAAGCTGGGCCATGTGGCCTCTCTTGACATGGTCGCAGCTCCCCTGACACACGTCCTATCTGGTGATCGAGGACAATCCCTCTTCTCGCTGTGCTCCTTCTTCATAACTTGCTAACAGCTTGTGGAATGCAGGAGAGATGCTGTCTGACTTCCCAAGCTGGGCCATGTGGCCTCTCTTGACATGCTGGTCGTTGGAACCCAGACACCATGATGGTAGGAACCTTGGCCACGTGGAGGTGTATTTGTCCGCAGCTCCTCTCAGGGCCCAGTCCACATCCTGCACCAACTGCCAGCAAGCGTGTGGAGACCCTTCTCCATGACACCAGCCACTGCCAACTTCTGACTGCAGCTGCATGATGGCCCATGGGCAAGAGCTACCCTTGAGACCAGCCCCTCCCAGAGCAGAGGGCAACCATGGCAGTAAATGACTGCTGCTTCACAGCAGCGTGTCAGGGTCCCCAGAGGAGCTGAAGCAATAGGGTACACAAGCCCAAGGCTGGCTCAGTGGGTGCCTGGCTGGTTCTAACTGGGCACTCGGAAGTGTGACAGGCAGCCTCTCAGGTATACCTCTGGCACACGGCATGGCCCCCCCAGGTCTGCATGGTGTCCAGCTCCCAGCCAGGGCATCTGTACAGAGTGGAAAAGCACCGGTGCAAACAGAACCATCTATTCCCTTATTTTATTGGTTTGAAACAAGTCACATGACCATTAATGAAAGGAAGGGAGGTGGAAATATTGTCAAGTGAGAGCCCAGGAGGAAGAGAGAATGGTATTGTTGAAAGAAAGCCACTCTTCACCACAAGATCTAAAGATAAATGAATGAAAGAGGGCCATTTTATTATTGATTGATTGATTGATTGATTTTGGAGAGGTTTTCGCTATAGGGCGCGTGCGCTTGCCAGACAGACAGAGAGAGACAGAGAGAGAGAAATCACCCCCCAGGGGGGACGGCCATGCCGCAATCCCTTCTTCATTCTCCTCTCGGGATCTTGGGTACGCACGCACACATGCCCAGTGTGAGTTTAAGCCACCGGGTCTGGGACTCGAGCCGTGGTCAACTACATGGGAGTCCAGTGACATAGCCATTACGCTAACTGCTGGTCCCAAGAGCGCCATTTTATGGCATGATGATTCAGGCAGATGGATTCCACACAGTTGACTGTGTGGCCTGAGTCTCAGACCTGGTAGCGTGAAAAACGCACTGGGTGCATGGGCATGCATGCCTCAAACCAGACAGGTGGGCAAGGTGGAGAGGGACTCTAGCGTGGCCATGCCTTATGGTAGAAGTGGTGGGAATGGCTTTCTTATTTTCCTTCTCTATATATGTCTCCGGTAAGCACATGTGCTCTGGCAAAATTTAAAAGAGAAAAAGAAAAAAGAAAGAATGATGCCTCCATAGGGACATGATGACAGATGGAGAGGTGGAGCATGAGGCTTTGCTGTGGAGGTGTCTGGACATTGCAGTTGGTAGAAAATTAGTCTTGAACACAAAAAGAGGAACAGCTTAGAGTGATTGGTGTCTCTGGAAAACATTTATGCTGGGGTATTTAAGGGATATCCATGAAATTATTCAAAAAGTAGTGAGAGTATGGACCTGGGTTTCCAGGAGGAAGTCTAAGCTACAGTGGGAGAGTGGATGAATATGATCCATTTCTACTTGACGGCGAGAAGGCAGCTGGGACGACTCTGATCATTTGATGCTGTAGCAATGAAGTCACCCGAGTAGAGTCCCACTTCTCCTTTCTCGTGACGTGCTATGG